TCCCTCTCTCCCTCTCTCCCTCTCTCCCTCTCTCCCTCTCTCTCCTCTCTGTGTGAGTGTATTGTAAATTGAGCTATTTGTCATCTTAGGGGAAGCAGCAATAGAAGCTTTTATTTAGAATTCAAGTTATAAACAGACTGAATTCCAATTTCTATATTTATGGAGTTAAAACCTTAGACATTTATCAGGTGTAATTGTCATCAAATAGCAAATTTTAAGTAACATTTCAGAAACTAGGAGAAAATAAACTGAGTAAAGGAAGTTAGAGCTAGCCATGAAGTTAAAGGCTTTGATTTTTCACTCTGCTAAATATCTGAGGTAGAATTATTTCATTCAGCCAGGGAGTGGACAATTCAGTCTAATTCTCTAAATCTGGTTATTTTCCTTTGCAAAATGTATTTTCAGAAGGTATCATTTATGAAATTATTTTTTGCCACACTTATTGAAAAAGAATGTAAAGAGCTACACAATAATTACACAATAGACATTTCCAAAAACAAGATTAAGATTTTCATTTCCATTCAAAGCCATTCTTTGTTAACTGAGCTATAAAATTCTCTCCACCAAAAAGAACTTGTAAGGCTTATCTCCTATATATTCTACAAACTTAGGATGATTTTAGTCATGCAGTGACATGCCCTTGCTTAAAACACTTGGAATTATTGAATATTTTTGCCTTATTTTGGAACTGAAAATCTTGACTGTTTATCTAACCCTAGAGATGTGCCAAATTGATGAGTTTTTTTCTAAGTCAAGGAAAAATCCACAAATTTTTCTTGGCAGGAACCCCACCTATACACCAAGTATTTCCATAACATCTTAGTTTACATCATCCTCTGCCTGATTGGAACTGCACAATAATTATGAAAAATTGCACTCTCCCCTCTGCAACCAATCCCAAATGACGAAGCTGGGGCTTATCCGCTATTTTCACATATAACTGGTGGGCCTGTCATGTCATTCACTTCTTCTATTTTAAGTTCCATGCTCTTTTACTCTACCTCATCTTGAAGAGAGGCAACATTAATATGTCTACATTCTCAGGATAGTAATCTAAAATAAATCTTCAAAGTTTCCACTATCCCTAAGCTTCCATAGGGGATCCCAAACAGTGATTATTAAGTGGCCACTGGAGGTATTAGAAGATCTTCTTATTCCTCCTGATGCCAGAGTGAGAAAAGGACTCCCCCCAAAGAACAAAAGTCAGAATTTGTTCATTTATTCAGCTCCTACTGTGTTCCAGGCACATCTTAGTCTTTGGGAATGCAAAGATAGCCATGACATAGACCCTGTACTTTAGGACCTCACAGTCTTTTGGAGGATATGACCACATGAAAACATAGTTATAAGTCACTATAGTAAACAGAGTCAAAGATATATACAGAAAGGTTTTTGCAACATGTGGAATGCTATCCACCTTGACCTGTAGTAGATGAGATGTATCCTAATGGAAAGGAGTACCACCAACCAACTGAACATGTTATTATGCTATTTGGGGACTATATCCTATATGAAAATAAAATATCCTTTTTATCTACATTTACACCTACAGTACCTAATTGTGACTGCAGCTCAGTACCTTAGTCTGTTTGACCAAACCGAGCCACCAACCTAGAGGTTCCTGGGGGTCTTTTGAAAATAACTAGGGCTTCCTGGTCACATGATGAGTATCTTTTCATTTCTACTGTTTGTCTGATCTTTCCCATCCTGAAATGTTTTTGGTTTTCATTTTTGTTTTTGTTTTGTTTTTTGTTTTTTTGAGACAAAGTTTCTCCATGTAGTTTTGGTGACTGTCCTAAATCTCACTCTGTAGACCAGGCTGGCCTCGAACTCACAGATCTACCTTGCTCTGCCTCCTAAGTGCTGGGATTAAAGGCGTGTGCCACCGCCGCCCGCCTACCTTGAAATGTTATTTAACTTCCTTCAATTAAGAATTGGGTACCAGGTTCTTTCCTTTTTAACCATGCTCCTCCTTGAGAGAGAATTGTCAAGGAGCCCCTCTAGCCTGCCTGTCTTTTGGCTCTGGTTTTAGGTTTCTCTTACTCTGAAGAAAAATGTTTTGGCATGCTAATCAATGTCACTTGTGTTTAATAACTTCTATCATATCACAGCTGTTGATAATACCATAAATTAAATAGCCCCCCTTTAGTCAGTTACCAGGTCTTTTCGATTTGAACTTAGAAAATGAATTTTCTATTTCTTTTGACCTATCCTAGTTTATGTAAATTGATATTACCTTACAGAATTTGTGTAGGCTTTGTATTAACATTCATTTCCATGTTCATAAAACTTCCAAAAGTCACAAGGAGACTATTTTTCAAAAGCTTTTAATGGCTTTCTATTGTTAATAAGGAAAAATTCAATGCCCCTTAGCATAATTTTGCAGGCCTTTATGCCCTGGAAAGTGGATTGGGTTGGAATGAATTACAGTGTGTTATCTGTAAACAACAGTCACATCCCATGATCAGCTAGTTATTTCAGCAAATTGAAGTCTGTTTTTGAAAATACTACCTTGTAATATCCTAATTTCTTAGACCACCAAATAGAGTTATAAAACAGGATTACAAAACAGAGTTATAAAACTGTTTTGCCTACATGGTGTCTCCTTGGAGAATATGGATACTATGAAAAGAACAGCTTTTTTTCACTGATGGCAATCCCCTGCTGTAGTCTTTGATAGTTATTTGGAAATACTTATTTCAATGTTATTGAGCATATGAACATTTTTATGTAGCGACAAAAGGGCCAGAATCAGACCCTCAAGATCCATCATCATCAGCTCTAGCCAGTGCAGCCTCACCTTCTTCAACCTTTAGGCTCTCCATGCTTGCTGGAACATTGACTGCCGGACATGGCATTCTAAAATACGACAGAGAGCTTGCAGTGCTGAGTTAGCACCTCCTCTCTCTCTCTCTCTCTCTCTCTCTCACACACACACACACACACACACATACAACTGACTTTTATACTCCACTACCACACCACTGCTTCTGTAACTATGGGAGAGATATTTGAATTGTTGTCAAAGCAATCTCCTCTCTCTCTCTCTCTCTCTCTCTCTCTCTCTCTCTCTCACACACACACACACACACACACACACACACACACACACACACACACAGAGCTGGCTTTTATTCTCCACTACCACACCACTGCTTCTGTAACTATGGGAGACACTTTTGAATTGTTGTCAAAGCAATCTTGCCACATGGGTTGTACACTTTATTATTCACCTTCTCCTTCTCTGACCACCAGTTTAGTTCATCTGTGAGAGTCAGGAGCATGTTCCAACAGGAAGGTGAAAAGTCGAACGATTTGAGAAAAAATGGAGTTGATTCTAGTTAAGCCTCTCGTTTTTGAACTTGAGCACAACAGCTGGGGCTTGATTCAGAGTGGGGCACGAAGACAGTGGTTTCCTTCTTGAATGGTAACTTATTCAGATTCTTTCATTTTTTTAAAAAAGTGTGCTATTTCTTTCTTGTCTCGACTCCTGTTTCTTCACCATATCCTGATAATAGAAGAAAAATGACTGGGTGTGTCAGGTCAGTTAATACAGCACTTAGAAATTAAAGACTGCGTAGGAGCGGGGCTCACTCCTGGAGTGTAGAGCAAGTGTCCCGGCACTGCACTCTGAAACTGGACCTGCACAATAGCTTAGTTAGAGGAGAGACACGGAATCAGGCCGTGCAGTGTTCCACAAGACAGAAATCTGATTGGAGCCATAGACTAGCATGGATTGTGTAGGGACAAGACCAGCACCTCTGTCCGCACAGGGAATTACACAGAGGAAGGCTCAGCATCCATGTCCACATGGTGTACCACAAACTCTCACCCTGCCTACTTCTCCTTTCTTAACCTTTATGCTTCCCTTATCTATTGGTGTGTTTTCTCATTACTGCAACAGGTTACCCAGCAAAACCAGCTTAAGGAAAGAAAAGCTTCTTTTGGTTCACAGTTTGTGGTTGGTCGATCATGATAGATAAGGCATGACAACAGGATTATGAAGCAACTGGTTATATTGAGTCTACAGTTAGAAAGCAGAGAGACATGAATGCTACTGCTCAGCTTACTTTCTTCTTTTTATTCAGTCCAGAACTCCAGCCTGTGGTGATGGTGCTGCCCGAGGCTAAGGTGGGTCTTTCCACCTCTGTTACCCTCACAGGCATGCTCAGAAGTATGTATCTCCTCTGAGATTCCAGATTTCCTCAACCTGGTAGTATTAATCATTAACTTAATTAATATCTAATTTCAATTTAGAGGACCAGCTTTGTTCTCTTCTTTTTCTCCCTTTTAATTTTTTGATACATTTTGCTATAAAACACAGGTTGTATAGTAGACCTGGCCCTGAAGGTGTAGATATGGGAGCTGAGGGTGTGAAAGCAGGGGAAGCCCCACCCCTTGCTCACTGAAGCAAAACTTGCCCAGGCAACGCTGGAGAGCTCACCCTGGTGGTGAGGACAAGGGAGAGCTGCCAGGCTGACCAACCCTGCAACTACCCAGGCTCAGAACAAGGGTTCTGAGTTGGCCCACCCCAACATCCACCTTATCTGTAATCTGTTGAAGCATTTGAAGGGACCTGACCTGCAGACCCAAAGCTGCAGGATCTCCATGATACAGAACAACAACAGGATATCCAGGAGGAGCCCTAGTGAGGGCCCTGCATCAATAGTGTAGCAGAAACCAGAGGCCTTGAACCAGATCGCAATGAACACTTGCATGTAAAGATGTATGGACAAAGGGGTCTACTGTGTGACTCACTGTGTCACACTACAGCTTCCATGATGAGATTGATTTTTCCTTCTCTCTCTTTCTCTTTCTTTTTTCTCTTAAATTTTATTTTATTTTGGGGGCAAGTTGCAAGGGCAGAGGGTAGATATTAACAGACAGGGAAATGAATGGGAATGGAGATGTATGATGTGAAAGACACAAAGAAAAAATAAAAAAAAATAGAAAGAAAAAAGAAAATGAATAACCCAAATTTATAAAAAGCAATAGATGATAGGCAAGATCAAGGATTTGTCTTTGGGGGTGATAAAAGCAGTATAAAATTATAATGTTGAATATATATGTGAATATAATAAAAACATTGACTGATATACTTGCACGGGTGAATCACAAATGCAAATTATACTTCAATAAAGCAGTTCACATTTAAAAAAAGAACATAGGGTGTTCTGGAGTTGGATCTCCTACCTCATGCTCTTGAGTACTGGATTGTTCCTGGTTCTTGGACTGTATTTCTTTGTCTCTTCATTATACCTTCAGCTGGAACTGATTTGGTTTATCCCTTAGCCCCCTTTGTTTTCCCTTTATATTTGTGCTTCTCTGGTGCTCTAATTTTAATTTGCTCATCTTGGTCTCTTTAGTTTCTTTTTAACCCCACCCTTATTTACTAGTATATAGGTACACCCCACACTATCATTGTTTCTTTTCTCCATTCAAATTCCTGGAGTTTTAGAGACTATTTTTAATTTTTTATCTTTTATTTTTTGACATGTGTATGTGAGTGTAGTATGTATATGTGCATACATGTGTGTATGGGTTCTCATGCATATGTATGCAAATGTGTGTCGAAGTTAGAGGTTGATGTTGGGTGTCTTCCTCAATTGTTCTCCACCTTCTGTTTCCCACTTGGACCCAGAACTCCATGATTTGAGAATTTAGCTAACCCATGTTGCTCTGGGGAATCCTCTGTCTCAGCCTGCTAATGGCTGGAGTTGTAGGTGGGCTGCCATGTTTCCCCAACATTTATGTGAGTGCTGTGGATCTGAATTTCAGTCTCCATGCTTGCCTGGCAAACACTTTACCCATTGAGAAATCTCCTAGACCCTGAGGCAATTATAATTCGTTGGGCCAGTACTGTATTTTTCAGAGTAGGTATGTCTATACTGATAGTGTTCCACTCTTGGAGCAGACTTAAAGATCAGGGCTAGTATCAAGAGCACACTGGCTAAAGGTTTAACTACTGAGCTGTATACCTAGTCTGGTTGAAAGAAATGGTCTCTCAACCCTACCAAAATGTAGTACATGAAAAATACAGTTGACCCTTTAAAAGTCTAACTAATGGCCTAATCCTAGATATGCAAATCCCCACACAAAATCACCAAAAAAGATGAAAAGTTCTAGTCAACATTACTCTGTTGAAAATTACTAAGTCTATAGATAGAACATGATAATATTTAAATAAAGCAAAACTTGAGATGATAAAGGTTCTGTGTGCATAGATATATGTGTGAGATGATTTCATCCCTCAATATGTGATAAATGTTAATAATCACATAGTGCATATGATGAAACTGAGGTCAGAAGAGACTAAATACTTTGCCTAAGATCTCATAACTACTAGACACAAATAGGATCCCAACTCTAATCTTACTATATACTTAACCATTCTACCTTAGTGATCTTGCATACTGTGGTCTGATTTTTCCCTTTATTCATACATTTTGATGGAAAAGATGTCGGTGATATAAATAGGGTTTGAAAATAATTCATTAGAATCTTTCTGTCACTGAGATATAGATAAGCAAACATTAAAAATAACTGGAAAAGTATACAGAGTACATCTGTACATATAGTTATAATCAGAGATCATGGATGGTCTCAGGATGTTGTCCGAGTCTTGCTGACTTAACTAAATTCTGATTATCCTGATACACCCCAGGCTTCTTATGTTCTTCCTTTATTTTGCTTGTTCATGTATTTATTTCTCATGGATTTGAGAGCTATTTATGGAGCATCTATTAGGTGTCAGACTATTGCAGTTGTACCATGAATAAATAAAATACCCTAATATCTTTTAATCTATGGTGCTCATATTCTCATAGAGAAATGGAAAATAAATAAGTAAAAGAGGGAATATTTGAAAATAGTGTGCTGTTCAGAGAAAATTAAAACAGGAAAGTAATGAAAAGGTGCTGCAATTTTAAAGAGGATTATCAGGGAAAATCTAATTGAGAAAGCCATAGCTGAAGTGTTCATAGTAGAAATGAGGGACAACTATTGTGACTTTGGAGATAATAAGGATGCATGTGAAGTTTTTATTGCTGTTTTGGTATAGCTGTAATCACATACCCAAGGAAAAAACTTAGGGAAGAAATTGTTTATTTTGGCTTACAATTTGATTCAGTTTTGACTTACCGATGATTCAGTTCATGACTGCTTGGTTCCATATGCTTCAGTAGAACATTATGGTAGATGGAGAATATAGCATAGGATAGTTAGTTGTTCATATCATGACAGAGAGCTACATAAAATAACTATGGTTGATATATCCTCAAGTACCAACCCACATAACCTATTCTTTTTGGTAGCTCCCACCTCCTGAGGTTTCCAGTACTTCCTCAAATACCACCATCAGCTTAGGATCATTGGTCCAAAACATAAGCTTGTGGGGGGAATTGAAGATTTAAACCATAGTAGTTCAAGGTGACATGAGAAGCCATTGGATACTTTGAGCACAGAAATGACAGAACATGATTTTTCTGTGTTGGGAATATATTGAGGAACTTAAGTGTTAAAGTAATCATTCAGGGTCTAGATGATGTCTTCTTCATTGGTCCCTATTGTTGCTATAACAAATGACCACAAAATAAGTGGCTATAAACAGCAACAATGTATTACAGGTTATAGGTTAGTATTCAGTTTCAGATATCACTGGAAAAAATTAAGATGTAAAGATGTGTTTCTTTGGGGGAGGAGTTGGGAGTATAAAATCATTTCTTATTCACTCAGGTTGTTGACATGACTAAGTTTTTTACAGGTATAGAAATAAGGGCTACTCTTAGTTTCCAAATTCCATTGTTCTGTCCTTAATTGTAGCATCCTACATCTTAGAATGAGCAAAAATGTATTTAATCTTAGACATGCTGCCATCTCTCTGAACCTTCTTCTTTTGTTACATTTTTCTTTCACTCATCTGGAAAAGGCCACATTTTTATACATCTAAGAGATTGAAATATGGGTATGATTATGAATACTACAATGACATTTAGATGAGAGTTAAGAAGTGGAGATGATGAAAAGTAGTGGGTGGATAGATTCTGGATATGTATTTAAAGTAAAGACAATGGGGTTTGTTCATTTTGCTGCACTTGCTAATGAAAGAACTATATCAGTCTCTTGAATCACTGATTCTTGATCTTCAGGATTATTTAAAAAATATGCAGTTCTGGGAGTACTATAAATAAATAAATAAGCAAATAAATAAATTTCATGTTTAAAGAAAACAAAATATCATCAAAGATGATTCCAAAGGTTATTTTTGTTGTGGTTCTGAGTAATAGGAATTACTCAGAAATGAAGACAGCAACATGAGGAGGTTTCACGTGCCTATTGGTTGGCATAGGATACATGATGCTTTACTAAAGAAAAAATACTAAAATCTCAGAGTTTTTCATAGAGAATGTGACTGCTGTGTATTTTATTTGGTCTTTGCCTCAAGGTCAAGTTCTAAGGCCTTGAGGTGCAGAGGTTTTCTCAGTTCTATATTTCATACCTGACAGTGAG